TATTCGATATGCCAAACACAGTAACAACAAAGTCTCCAATGGAGATGTTACTGGGCCCGCTCGAGCAAATCGATGAACAACAGGAGGATCGTGACCAGATATATATATGCTATACAAGTACAAAAAAGAAAAAGAATCACTATTTTGGCCTATTGATTTAGCTAGGTATCATTGACATATGTATAAATCTAAGAACACAGAAGCAGATCAATACTGTCTGATCCCATTTTCCTCAGTACATGTGAGATCTTCCTCTTTTTGTTAATTTATATGTCAATATTGAAAGTTAAAGTTAATCTTCAGCAAGGTCTTTCTTTTCAATCTGGTCAGCACTCAAAGGAGCAAAATAATCTGAATTTTGTAATTATGAAAGAACTGGGCTGGAGCGATAGCATAGCGGTAGGGCGTTTGCCTTGCACGCAGCCAACATAGCCAACCCGAGTTCGATTCCTCCGCCCCTCTCGGAGAGCCCGGGCAAGCTACCGAGAGTATCTCACCTGCACGGCAAAGCCTGACAAGCTCCCTGTGACATATTCGATATGCCAAACACAGTAACAAGAAGTCTCACGATGGAGACGTTACTGGGCCCGCTCGAGCAAATCAATGAACAACGGGAGACCGTGGACCGTGGATGAAAGAACTATTTTGAATTTTTAAATTAGGATAAAGCTATATTAAAGTTTTAATATGCATAGATCCCATTAACTAAAATATTTAAAATAATTTCTTGAGAGAAATCCTGTCATAAAGACTTGCTCTGCCATTATCTCTGTGATCACCAAAAACTTTCAGAGGGTTATCCTTTGAACTAATACAGCTAAAGTCACTGAAACAGAGAAAGAAGTTAAGAAACTTTCAGTTCTCCAAGATGTGATTCTCCAAGTTCCATTAACTAATTGGGGAAAAAATTAGGTAGACTTTTTAAAATTATTTCAACTTGCTTCTGACAGAAGTCCTGACTCTTGAGCAGCATTTGTGCAAACAAAACTGGGGTGATCACTAAAACCTCCTTTTGTATATTCCCATTGAAGCAAATATTATAATTAATAAGCATATAAATGCCTTTCATTATGGGTGATAACTTATAAAATAAATTATTTTATAATTTATTTATTTCCATTATTTCTAAATACTTCAGGGACCTAAAAAGTGAAACATCCTTAGCAACCTTTAAATATTCTAATATGAAAAGAAAACAGCAGGTAAGGCGTTTGCCTTGCAAGCGGCCAATATGGCCGACCCAAGTTCGATTCCTCCGCCCCTCTCAGAGAACCCGGCAAGCTACTGAGAGTATCTCGCCCTCACGGCAGAGCCTGGCAAGCTCCCCGTGATGTATTCGATATGCCAAACACAGTAACAACAAGTCTCACGATCTAGATGTTACTGGGCCCGCTCGAGCAAATCGATGAACAACGGGAGATCCGTGATTCGTGATCCGTGAAAAGAAAACATTGATCATTGATAATTTATTTCTATTAGATGTTCCTTATATGCTCATATGTTTTTGTGTTATAAATATTATAAAATGTTGTAATCAATCTTACTCTGAAGGACAAGTACATTTGAATTGGTACCACATTAGTAGTACTACAATACTAATTAGTAGTCTATTAGAATGAGAACTAAATTCAGTAAAATTAGTACATTAAAATTAATACTAAAATTAACATGGATTGAATTTAAGTTTAACTACTTCTTGACTGGTGTGGTATATCATAAATGTGTTAATAGTGTGGTATATCAAAAGTTCACTAATGACTACAGTCTGTCATTCATTCTTAATCATATCTGATTTTTTTTTCTTTTTGGGTCATACCCTGCTATGCTGAGGGCTTAGTCCTGGTTCTGCACTCAGGAATTACTCCTGGCGGTGCTTAGGGGACCATATGGGATTCTGGGAATAGAACCCAGGTCAGCGGCATGTAAGGCAAGCGCCCAACCCACTGTGCTATCACTCTAGCCCCAGTCGTATCTGATTTTTGACCTAAAAATATAACTTGACTTTTGTTGTTGGGAATTAGCAAATGTAATGCAAGCCTAGGCTTATAAAGTACTTGCACAAGTAGTCTTCTCTCTTCCATCCGCAATTATGATAGCACAGCGGGTAGGGCACTTGCCTTGCACACGGCAAACCTGGGTTCAATTCCCAACGTCCCATATGGTCCCCCAAGCATCGCCAGGAGTAATTCCTGAGTGCAGAGCCAGGAGTAACCCCTGATCATCTCTGGGTGTGACCCAAAAGAGCAAAAAAAATTATTAGTATCTCTCTCTCTCTTTCCTTTTGGGCCTTATGATCTGTAATACAGATAGTGCGGGGTTATCAGGTATATCCCATTGTCTACTTTCAAAACACAGTTCCTGTTTCAAAAGTAAAGAGAGAAACAGACAGAGGGACCGAGACAGAGACAGACAGAGACAGAGAGACTAAGAGATACAGAGAGACAGAGAACAGAGAGCAGAGAGGAGAGAGCAGACATAAGTGCAAGGCAAAACGATGAAAAAATTTATTACTGTCAGTTTTCTACAGATTATTTTTCTTTGTGATTTAATTTAATCTGAAGAGCAATCTATTAGACTTTTATTATTAATATCCTAGAATTCTAAGAAACTTATACTTTTCAACCACAAATTCTATTCAACTTTAATTAAGAATGGAAAAAAACACAAGAAGCATTTCAAAGAAAAGCTTTCAGTGAAATACCCTCTATTGCAATATGTCCCAAATTGGATAATCCTGCCTTTCAAGAGGTGCTAGAGCAGTCCAGGAGTACAAAAGGTTCAAGTACAATTGGAGGGCACATTTTGTTTATTTGCTTGAAGAAGACAGATTTCCTTTCAATAAAGCCACATGCAAAAAAACAAACTGGATCATCATGTCACAAAATGCATGAAACTTAACTAAAAACAAATTAAAAACTGGAATGTTAGATCCAAAATGACAAAATATATGGAATTTTGGAAAACACACCATAATACTGCTTTCCCTGATATATTCAGGAATTTGACTTCAATAGCTAAGAAAACAAAAGCAAATAAGGCAAATGGGATTACATCAAACTGAAAATTTTCTGAACCATAAATGAAACTATCATTAAACAATACCATGCAACATTGGATAACCTGACAATTATACTCCCAATCAAATAACACTAAAACACCAATTTCAAAAGACATTTGTACATCTTTATTTATTGTAGCATTGTATAAAACTAATTCTTGGAAACAAACCAAGTGTCAAACAATCAGAGAATAAAGATACAGAAAATATTCTCAACGGAATACCACTCCATTATTAGGAAGGGTAAAATACTTTCTTTACAGGTAGGGCGTTTGCCTTGCATGCAGCCAACATAGCCAACCCGAGTTCGAGTCTTCCGCCCCTCTCAGAGAGCCCGGAAAGCTACCGAGAGTATCTCACCTGCACGGCAAAGACCGGCAAGCTCCCTGTGACATATTCGATATGCCAAACAAAGTAACAAGAAGTCTCACGATGGAGACGTTACTGGGCCCGCTCAAGCAAATCAATGAACAACGGGAGACCGTGGACCGTGGATGAAAGAACTATTTTGAATTTTTAAATTAGGATAAAGCTATATTAAAGTTTTAATATGCATAGATCCCATTAACTAAAATATTTAAAATAATTTCTTGAGAGAAATCCTGTCATAAAGACTTGCTCTGCCATTATCTCTGTGATCACCAAAAACTTTCAAAGGGTTATCCTTTGAACTAATACAGCTAAAGTCACTGAAACAGAGAAAGAAGTTAAGAAACTTTCAGTTCTCCAGGATGTGATTCTCCAAGTTCCATTAACTAATTGGGGAAAAAAATTAGGTAGACTTTTTAAAATTATTTCAACTTGCTTCTGACAGAAGTCCTGACTCTTGAGCAGCATTTGTGCAAACAAAACTGGTGTGATCACTAAAACCTCCTTTTGTATATTCCCATTGAATCACATAGCAAATATTATAATTAATAAGCATATAAATGCCTTTCATTTAAGCATATAAATGCCTTTCATTTTCATTAAATGCCCCCAGTGTTCGGGGGACCATATGGGATGCTGGGAATCGAACCTGGGTCGGCCGTGTGCAAGGCAAATACCCTACCTGCTGTGCTATTGCTCCAGCCCCGAGAAATTTTCTCTAAAAGCTCATATTTAAGCTGCAACACTGAAAAATATAAAAAAATATTAAAAAAAGAATATTTGACTGATTAATTAGCTACCATCCTTTACAGTTTCAAGTGCTCAGGATCTTTAGTATGCACTTAATAATCCTAAATACTATGTATCCTTAAAATTCACCAGGACAAAAGGGAATGCCCTGCCACAGAGGTAGGGTGGGATAGGGAGGATGGGGTGTGGGAGGGATACTGGGATCCGTGGTGGTGGGAAATGGGCACTGGTGGAGGGATGGGTATTTGATCATTGTATAATTGAAAGCCAAGAACAAAAGTTTGTAAGTCTACAACTGTACCTCATGGTGTCTCACTAATAAAAACTTTTTTAAAAAATTCACCAGGAAACATTCTAGAAATAAACTATTAAAATACTATTTAATTAAGATTAATTTGAGATTAGGTGAAATTATAAACAAGTGATTCCACTGAAAAAAGTGGGCAGTTTTGCTTTGAGTTTTCATAAGAGTTAGTGAGCTTTATATATTTTTTAAAATTCAATGAGCTGACTCCTGATATATATAAAGTTATTTAGAAAGGCAAAGATAAAACTGTGCATAATACTCATCCAGTACTACAATAAAGACAGAAGATGAAAGGTACTGTTCAAAATGTTTGAGAGTGGTAAACTTCCTCATTCAAAAGTGATAAAAATCCTCATACTACTGCCCTGTATCTTGCAAGTTCTCTACATAAATATGCAATAGCTTAAATGTGCTGTTATTGTAATAAATGTTTAACAAATAGAATGATCACATTTCCAAAATAATTCGCAAGTTTCAAAAATGTTCAATGTGTTCATAACAGAATACATATTCCATTCACTTGCTAAATAACCTGTAATATAAATGCTTGACTGCTCCTTTCACATCCTTGTTTCTTAGACTGTAGATCAAAGGATTCATCATGGGAGTCATCACCCCATAGAACATGGATATAAGTTTATCAGTAGTATCCAAATCCCCTGAACTGAGTGTCTCTTTAGATTTGGGCTTCATGTACATAAAGAGAATGGTCCCATAGAATATAATCACCACAGTTAGGTGAGATGAGCAGGTGGAAAAGGCTTTATTTCGGCCTTCAGAAGTGCTTATTTTAAGGATGCTAGAAATAATTAATGAATAAGAGATAACAATCAAGAGCAGTGGCATTAGCGTGAACAACGTTGTGGCCATGAGCATGATGAACTCATTGCTTGAGATGTCAGCACAGGCCAATTTCATGACAGCCAGAATTTCACAACTGAAATGGTTGATGACGTTACTTCTACAGAAAGGCAATTGTACCACAAGGGCGGTTTGTACAGCCGAGTTGAAAAGACCCAGGATCCAGGAGCTAGCTGCCATGGGCACATAGGAATCCTTGCTCATGATGACAGGATACCTCAGCGGGTTGCAGATAGCCACATACCGGTCGAAGGCCATCATGCCCAGAAGCACACATTCTGTTGTCCCCATAGCCAATCCCAGAAACATTTGAAGTGCACAGCCAGCGAAGGAGATGGTCTTCCTTTCTGAGAGGAAGTTTACTAGTGCAAGAGGAATGGAGGTGGTGGTGTAGCAAATGTCCAAGAAAGAGAGGTTCCCCAGGAAGAAGTACATTGGGGTGTGAAGGTGAGTATCTAAGATGCTGATTAAGATAAGGGTACCATTTCCCAGAAGGATGACCATATACATTATAAAAATGAGCACAAAAAAAAGGATCTCAAGCCGTGGGTAACCATAAAGTCCCTTTAAGAAGAATTCTAGCAGCATGGTTTGGTTTTCCCATTCCATTTTACTTTCCTTTACCTGTGTAGATTTGGGAGAAGTTTTAAAATACTGCTTAATTACTACAGTAAGTCTAATAATACACAAAAACAGACATTAAAAAGATAAAAGGAGTAAAATAAGAAAAAAGAAGAGACAAATGGAACGCAAGAAAAAAGAGTATGGCAAAAAAATTATTGTATCTATTACTATGAGCTATTAATTTTGTGTTATTTTTCATACGTTACTTCATTTATAGCCCATAATTATCAGCATAAGCATTAATAAATTATAAAAGTTAAAATAATGGGATATAAGTCAGAATTGATATATTATTCAATAAAACCTAGACTCCAAGTCAAGAGTAATTATATTCCATAATTATGTCAGATTAATTTATAATTTTTGTGAAATGTAAAATCAATAAAGAACTCATTGTTCCAAATATTTGTCTAGTTTACTTGTTATGGCAGCCCCAGGCCTAATTCAGAATATTCAACAGTAATCCATTCCCTACTAAGGCATTCATTAAAATTGCCAATCTCATGGGTGAACATGAGTCAGTGTACAAACTTCCAATTTACCCCCAAAATGTACAATTCATGAAAACCTCAGAAACCTAAAGTTATAGTATATGTAACATTTTTATGAAAGACAGACTAAATGTTATTTACATTTTCACAATAAAATTGATTTTGCTCTTAAGTGTATTGTTAGTTCTGTTACTGTCACTGTCCTCCCGTTGTTCATCGATTTTGCTCGAGCGGGCCCGGTAACGTCTCCATTGGAGACTTTGTTGTTACTGTGTTTGGCATCTTGAATACGTCACGGGTAGCTTGCCAGGCTCTGCCGTTTGGGCGAGAGACTCTTGGTAGCTTGCCAGGCTCTTCGAGAGGGGCCGAGGAATTGAACTCGGGTCGGCCATGTTGGCTGCATGCAAGGCAAACACCCTACCGCTGTGCTATCGCTCCAGCCCCATGTTGGTTCTATGAATTAAAAATATTTAACTTCTCAAAATCAAGTCATAAAGTACTTAGATTACTGTAAAAAGTCACTGTCACTGTCCTGTCGCTATCCTCCCGTTGTTCACAGATTTTGCTCGAGCGGGCCCAGTAACATCTCCATTGTGACACTTGTTAGTGTATTTGGCATATCAAATATGCCATGGGTAGATTGCCAGGCTTTGCCATGCGGGAGAGATACTCTCGGTAGCTTGCCAGGCTCTCTGAGAGGGATGGAGGAATTGAACCTGGGTCAGCCAGGTTCAAGGCAAATGCCCTACCTGCTGTGCTATTGCTCTAGCCCTCTGTAAAAAGTATAAAAAAAAAAATCTATGGGGATCAAAAAATATAGCACAGAGGGTAACGTGCTTGCCCTGCATGTAGGAAAACTGACTTCTATACCTAGAATCTCATATGGTCCCCCAAAACCTGCTGGGAGTGATCCCTGAGCACAGATCCAGGAGTAAGCCCTGAGCACCACTAGGGTTGGCCCCAAAATCAAACCAAATAAGCCTTGTACTGTTTCTTTACAATCATCTTTTGTATCCACTTCTTTATTCCTGGCAAAATTAATGCTGTTCATTTCCATCATCATCAACATTTGGTAATTTTATATGCATATGTACACTTTATATGTACATATGTGGGCTGGAGCGATAGCACAGCAGGTAAGGCATTTGCTTTGCACACAGCCGACCAGGGTTCGATTCTTCCGTTCCTCTTGGAGAGCTACCAAGAGTATCCCAACCTCCTGGCGGAGTGTGGCAAGCTTCCTGTGGCGAATTCGATATGCTAAAAACAATAACTACAAGTCTCACAATGGAGACATTACTGGTGCCCTCTTGATCAGATTGATTAACAACGGGAGGACAGTGCTACAGTGCTATGTACATGTGTTCATATTTGATTATATAAAAATAGCTAAATATACTATATTTTCCTAATCCAAAAGAGATGCAGTTCTATTTCATCATTATGTTAATTTCTACATCTTTAATTACTTGGATTATTTGAGAAATAGTCATTAATGTATTTTATATATTTTTAAACTTAAAGCTTTTATACTGAAAAAAATTTGAAAATCCAAATTCTGGCAATGAATCACTTATGTATAGCTTATACATACATCTCTTATGTATCTGAAATGTCCTCTTATTCTCTTAAAGCTAAAATCTTCAGTTGTCATACATATTCAGGAGATACACAGAAACAAAGTGACTACAAGATGCTTTGAAGAGAGCAGATGTTTCACACTTCTCAAGTACTTTAGAAGTTTCCTCAACAAAATACACTCTGCTATCACCAGGGATCAGGAAAAATACATGTTTTCTGTAAAATGGAAAATACAGCAAAGATTTTTGCCTCCTAAAGTTTTTTAGGACATTTCTTTTCATTTTCCTCAAGAAATACAGTCCACTCTTTCATACATATACAAATTTCTAGTAATATCATTGTTCACGGACATAGGATTCTTTGAAAATGCTCTAATTCATTAATGAAACGAATCAACACTTAACATTTTCCCATTTGTCCTTACTTAGGAAAATTAATACAAATTGAAATTCTTAATTAAATCCTTTGACTTATAAGCCAATTTCTGATTATCCATATCCACTTTTAGCCATTACTAGGGTACTCCTTTCAATCCACTTTGCCCGTGTTTCAATCAACTCTGTATTTTCTTCTTTGGAGTGATTTTATAGACTAATAGCCTACTTCTTTTCTTCTGATTCTTCTTAGTGCTAATTGATACTACCACTCAAATCCCAACAGCCTGGTAAATTTTGTCTACGGATCAATTTCACTGTGCCAACTCTGTTCTCCATTAATAAAAATAACTATATTTTTATGAATTAAAATTTTTATTCATGTGCTTTAATATTGCTACTAAAAGGTTCTAACTATACCAATACGACATTTCTAGAAATCAGGATCTTAAAATAATTACAGTGCATTTCAGAGAAGAGGTTTAGGTAGTAGAGCACATATTCATCATGTGAGAGGTCCTGGATTTCATTCCTAGTATCACATGTCAGGAATCACATGTGACCCTTTGGGGCTTAGTGCCATCAGATAGGCCACATATCAAACAATGTGGCCCTACCCCCAAGCTTTGCTTCTCCAGGGATAGCTCAGTTTCCCAAAGCATCAATGGGTGTGGCCTTTAATAGATAAATAGTATAGCAAAACGAACACAACAGTAACCCTCCTTGGTTTTAATCAAAAAACAGTATTCAGTCATGAAGCATGGAGGGAAGCACATTTTAGATGTTATTCATAAGTAAACAAACAAAGCCCAAAGCAAACTGTGCTATAGAAATAGCTATTCTGAATTTCACCTACTATCTATCCCTAAACTCTGCCTAGTCCCAAATCTAAAGGTCATAGGTTCTGTATCTTCAATTTGCAGTGTTACACCTCGGTTTTCACTTAAGCCCCTCCGGTAGGTCGATTAGTTATAGAACTGGGCACTGTCTTTCTGAAGAATGCAACGGTCTTTCTGAAGAATAAATGAACACATATTATAGATATGATTTCTGAGAGGACTAAAACTGTCTATGGCTCACAGTGATATTCCAGGCTGGGATCCCGCAAGCAAGTTCCCCAGTTTACAGTTTCTGTGTGACCTTAGGAATTTATGTAACCTTATGACTCAATACCCTCTCCATTAATGAAGGTGCTTCAATAGTCATATTGTGAGAATTTGGGCAGAAGGAATCAGCATGTGTAAATTACCAACATATAATTAGCACTAATCTGATTTTTTCATCTTCCTTTGACATTCTTTATTCTATTCATTTCACATTTCTATCCCTGATTTTACACTCATGAAAGAACATATTAAAATTTTCCTTAGTCTGATCTGTTTGTACATATGTTCTGTTTATACCCAATAAACTAATAATTTTCCTCATATATATGATATGACATGGAGTTATGTTAGAGCAAATTCTGTGCACTTTGTAAAGAAGAATACTAAAATATGATGGCAAAGACCAATGACATTTCACGAAAGGAATTCATAAACTGACATTTGAAAACAAAGGCTCTTTCAATCTAAAGTGCTAATTAGGAGATCACAAAGAGGAAAAGAGAGATTTACTCTCTCTATGACTATAATAGTCATAGAGAGAGATTTTTCTCTTTCTATAACTATTCATTTCTAGAATAGTCATATGAATGTATTAGTCATCACAAATAACATTAAATGTACTCAAAACAGTTTCTAAAAAGTAAAAACATAATTGCAAATAATATTAATTCCATTAATCTGAGGACTCACTGTGCCTGTTCATTTTATGTGTACACAAATCAAAAGATCTAGTCTTAGCAATAAAATTTTTCAAATACACCTCCAGTCAGAAGCTCTAGGACAAAGACTACCTCTCTTCACATGATCAGTACTGGATAAACATTTTTTAAGCTGCATTGAATAAAAAAAATATTTTAAATTAAATTGGTCATAAGAGGAAAATTGTTATAGAATCCAGATTTAATGCTTTACAAAACCTCCTTACACTACATGTGTGAAATGACACCATTAAAAATGTGAGCCTTTGTACTAAACATAGTATCAGTCTACTGTAAACTGACTAAAGAAATATTTATTCTCAGTAAAATAATATGTCTATGAACCATTATTGTTTATGTTAAATTACTTCTAATTTCAAAATAAACCTTTGTTTATTTTTTGTTTTCTGTTTTCTTAATGTATTGCAGAAAACTTCCCTTAGGATTTTTTAATTTATATTTTCTGTAAATTCTATAGTATGAATGAACTAGTTAAGAAATAAGTAAAAACGTGTCTTATTTCAACTCATTTTGCTGGATACTCATCTCCTTGTATTTGTGTTATCCTAATATTTATAACAATTACCTCTAGATGAAAGGTTGATTCTCCTTTTATGTTGCAATACACAGCAGATTTTTTTTACTCAGTCTTCTAGTTGCAGCCTGTTATACGAAAGTTTCTGTGAGGTAGATGAATTTCTGAAGGTGTTACCACACAGGAACCTTAATGTCATA